CCCCTCCCGCCCCCCTCGCTGCCGCTCCGCCTCGCCCGTCCCTGGCATCCCCCATCCCTGGCATCCCCCACGCCCAGTATCCCCCGTCCCTGGCATCCCCCGTCCCTGGCATCCCCCACCCCCAGCATCCCCCATCCCCGGGATCCCCCGTCCCCGGGATCCCCCGTCCCCCCGCACCCCCTGCCCATCAGCGCGGGACCAGCCTGGGCTCCTCTCCGGGGAACGAGGGGACCGGGGGAGAGGGAGATGAGGAGCACAAAGGGGGATGCGGTGTTGGGCACATGGTCCGGTGCAGATTAAGTGAGGGACGCCCCACGCGATGGGACGCGGGACAGGTCCCAGCGCTCGGCACGGCCACCCGCGGGAGGGGACAGCAGCTCGGCAGCTCTCCCAGGAGGAGGCGGTTGGAAATCAGAGAAAAACCTTCGTATCTCTGCCTGGGAGCTTGCACCCGCACGGGGCTCCGCAGGTGGATTTCCGAGCCCATCCGGGACAGGAATTTTCCTGTCCTTTTCCCAGAATTAAGGTCTCTGCTGCAACGAAATAACTGCACAGCAGCGGGATTTGACTGTGGGGTGGGAACGGTCTAAACGAGGGTAGGACACAGCCTCATCCCTCTCACAGAACAGGTTTGTATCTGCACAACAACTCGACCCAAAAGCGTAAGATCCTTCTCACGAGCTCAAACTGCCGCTCAGCCGACAACAAACTCCTTTGGCACAGGAATGCTCCACAAAAAAAACCACCCCAGCTCCCACCCCCCTACACAGACACAGAGATGAGGCGAGGGTGGAAAAGCGCATGCAATTCAAACAGAAGCGTGAAAAAAATCAGAAATACTGACCTTAAAGCTCCAGTAGTTGGGTTGCTAACAGAAAATAAAACAACAAAACAAAAGAAAACAAAAAAAACACCATTAAGATTCTGCTTTGACTTTTGTTTTCCTTTTGAGAATCGTCGCCTTTAAGCAGCGACATTAAACCTGCTCTCGTTTCTGCTTAAAGTCCCCTCCCAACGGGTTGCTTAAGTTTCAGGCGGCTGCAGGCTGGCGCGGGGGAGGCAGGATGGGGCAGGCAGGCAGGGCCGGCAGCGGGTACCCACCGCAGCCCGGGGCGCCAGGGCAGCGAAGCAGAGCGAAGCAGGGAGCGGGAGGGCAGCCCAGCATCGCTACTGGAGTCACCAGTATACCCACACCGTCCCGGCACGTGCTGGTCGGGCTGCTGCCCCCGGGGGTCGGTGCTGGAAGCTGGAATAATTTTAATTTTTAAAGGGATGTTCCAATCCCCCCTCTTTGTCCCTGCTGCCTCCCTCTGTTGCTTCTTCGCAGCGTTTCCACCGGTGTCAAGCCGATGTGCTACAGCGAGTGACAGGAGCTGGCATCGCTCACAGCCCAGCACGCCGCAGAGCCTGGGAGCTTTCTTCTCCCGAGCCACCCACCGATAATCACCGGCGGGAGATGGCACCGAAAGTCCTGAGGATGCTCGGAGCTGCGGACGCGCCATCGGGCAGCGGAGCATCACGGGGGATGGAGACTCAAGTCCCCTCCCAGGGCAGCACCGAGCTCGCACAGCCGGGATGGGGTTGCGGGACCCCAACACGTCCTCAGAGGACAACGCGGGGATGGAGAACATCCTGTGGCCGAGCATCCCCAGCACACCGCGCCGCCCGACGGGGACAGGCGAGCTCCCCGCCGCCCACAGCCGGGATGGGGTTGCGGGACCCCAACACGTCCTCAGAGGACAACGCGGGGATGGAGAACATCCTGTGGCCGAGCATCCCCAGCACACCGCGCCGCCCGACGGGGACAGGCGGGCCCCCCGCCGCCACGGGCGAAGCGAAGCGGTTTGGAGCAGTGGCACACGCTCGGCACAGCAGCACGGCAAGCGGCTTCGTGCCGGTCCCGTGCTGGTCCCCTGTCACCCCCGCAGCAGCATCCCCACTCCCGCGGTGCCCGGAGACGGCGCTCCGGGAGACAGGATGGTACCCAGCGGGAGGGAGGTTGGATGCGGTGACAAGAAGCGGGATGCACCTCGCTGGAAGGGGAAACGTTATGATATCACCGCGATGTGTAGCCGATGGGTGGGGTGGGAGAGACGGGCGCAGAGCAGTCTGTGTCCCAACGGTCTTTTTATTGGGACCAAAGTTCTCGACTGCTCTTTTCTTCCCTTTCACACCCACCCATCCCCTTGATTTGGTTTGGGTTTTTTTACAGCCTTTATTTCCCCACCACAGTCACTGTGGCTACAAACCTGATTTGTTACTTAGAGGAGGATTATGATGATGATATTATTATTATTATTATTATCAATAATAATAATAAGCTTCACTATTATTGTGCTTAATTGTTCTCAGTGGAATCTGTCTAAATATTATTGTTATTATTATTATTATTATTAATAATAATAATAATAATAATAATAATAAATAGGAAGCAAGCTCCAGCACCAAGCTCCTAGTCCCCATCAGTCCCTGCAATGCCCGGCGGCTGCCAAGGAGCCTCCTATCGCAGCGCTCTGGGAGCAGAGAAAGAAGTTGCAATGACGTTAGACCATCATGGAGTATTTATCCAAGGATTTTAACAATCCACTCGCAGATTTCCTGCTGGGGTATTAACCCTTCTGCTGACAAGGTAAATAGAAGTCTACTCCGTGTATAAACACCAATTCCCTTGTTAGACTCATCCCACGCCTCAGCAGGATGCTCTTAGTCCAACACAAGATGCAGTTCACGTTCATATTCCGTAGGACATCAGTAGACCCAGACCAAGTTCTGCCTCAACCAAACCAAAACTGGTTTAGAAGGGATTGAAGTCAAACAAGTGCAGTGCTTTCATGCAGACAAGCCTCAAGGCACAAAGGTCTTTTTCCAAGGGCACACCGTGACTCAGAAGCACAACCAGAAATAGAAGTCCGGAGCCGTGATTACCAGGCACTATTAGATAACAACCAGCAGGATCCAAACCTATCCTGCCCATGGAACGCTTTTCCAAAACACCAGAAGCTTGAAAGCGAGAAAATGCCTTTCGGTCCTAAACGAAGCCATCCATCGTTGCAGCAATTAACGTGCCAGCTGCACCCGCAGCTCGTTGCAGCCTGAGCTCCCGGGGCAAGATGCTGGGGGCACCGGGGGCAAGATGCTGGGGGCACCAGTACCTGCATAGCCACGCAAAGCCCAAATTGTAGCGTTGCCACGTGTTACGCCAAAGCATCCGAGCGCGGGTAGAAGCTCAGGCTGCTCGAGGAGCGGCTAGAGGA